AATTCTTGCATTCCCCGTCCAAAACCATATTCCTCTTCGGGGAGGGGTTCACCACTGCTCCTTATCCACAACCGTGCCCCCTGGCGGGTTGAGGCGCGCTAGACTGCCAAATGTTGTCTGGTAGTGCTTCTGCACCTGCTGAAGGGCACCCTACCTCCCAGGCCGCGCCCAGCCGCGCGCATCACCTCCTGCTCCCAGGACCACAATCCCTTCGCAAAGTGCTGCAGGTTCCCGCGCCCGAGGACCAACTGCCTCCAAGACGGCCCAATTTCTGTCCAAGACGGGCAACGCTGACCACGTCCCATCCTCCTCCTCCTCCTCCTCCTCCTCCTCCTCCTCCTCCTCCTCCTCCTCCTCTCCTCCTCCTCCTCCCCCTGCTCCTCCTCGTCGTCCTCCTCCTCCCACTCCACCTCCTCCCTCTCCTTTGCCACCCCGCCACATCCCACAATGCGCCAACATCGACACCCAAACAACATTCATGTCCACCTCCTCCCTCTCCTCCTCCTCCTCCTTCTCCTCCTCCTCCTCCTCCTCCTCCTCCTCCTCCTCCTCCTCCTCCTCCTCCTCCACCCTCTCCTCATCTCCATCAACTGCCCCCCTGGCGGGCGCGGTTCCGCCGTCCTGGCGCTCCCTTGCAGATTCGTCCTCGTCGTCGTGGTCTCGCCGCCACCACCGTCGCCGCAAAACCATATGACACATACAAGAAGACAAAGCATTGACCAACACGACAATAAAGATTTGTGAACGCCCAACTTTTGCAATAGTTCTGTAGCAACAGAATGTGAATCATGAACAACACTGGTATGAACAAACAAGGTTCATCACCCTTTCTAACATATGAAATACATACGCGTATATGCATGGAAATGAGGGTGCGCGCGCGTTAGAAACTGGTATTGGCCTAACATGTATTAAAAGACGCGTCCAATAATTTGTGTGTGAGATCGTTTGGGGAAGCTCTTGGAAACACCTAACATATCGCACAAACTGTGGCGGACTCTTCGCGATCCAGAATGCGGCTGCGAAAATGTTGAGCACGCCGTTGGCTGCTGCATCGACTGCACGAGATCTGCACGGGCCGCGGTGTCGCGGGGGCGAAGGCGGAGGGGGCGAAAACCCTACGAAGAGGTTGCAATGCCTCGGCATCGTGGCATCGCCGCGCGGGGGCGAAGGCGGACGGGGCACAACTAAACGAGCGGGCAGCTAAACAGCCGAGCCCCCAAGAACGCGCGGCGCGTGCGCTCGCGGGCGCGATGGCGCCCCGGCGACGCACATGGAAAACTCGATAGAATTGCAGCGGGGGGGGGGACTTAGCGCGCGCCGGGCGCGCGCCCTCCTCTCCCGTTTCCCTGCCCGCCCTCCCCCATCCGCATCCGCCTTTTTAGATTTCGGCACCTGCTCGCCCGCGTCCCGTCGGGCGCGCCCGCCCTCGACGCAGAGCGCGGGCCCCCAGGCCCCGCGATTCCCTCCCGGCGCGCGCATACACCAAGGGTGCCTCGAGGGTGCCCGCCAAGCAGTGGACGATCTCCAGACATTTAGCCACGCGCATGAAGAATCTCATGGCGTTGGCAGAACAACATAAACATGTCTCTGGTTCGTGCGGGAACAAATCGACGCCTCGCCAGATCGTTCGGAAACCGATCGTTTTTGTACCGGTGCGTGCGAAAACTTGCGCAATTTCGCCAGTTTGGTCATATCGAATCAAACATGTACCAAACAATGTATTGTATTTCGGTCAACGTTTCGCTGCTTTGTGTGCAATTCAATAATCGCCTTCACCAGTTTCGTCGGAAACCGATCAACGGCGCCCCCGGTTTGGTCAGAAACCGATCAGCGCTTGGGCTGGCGTGCTCGCCATTGGGTCGCTCCAAGCTTTGGAGGGCTTTGGCCTGGGGCTTCTCCCGCCACAATCCTCCTGCCGCCGAGGATCGGCCGCCGCCGCAACTCCCCCCTGGAAGATAGATTCGTAAGGAACTGATGCCGACGAGTCTGGGGCGCGACTTCTGGAGGGCAAGACTGCACCAGACATGCTCCTTGTGAGTGATTGCAGCAACGCGGGCGAGCCCCGCATAACTCTTTCGCATTATATCCCCACCGGGTGACTGCTCCACGGCTACCAGCGCGACGTCATCGATGACGTCGTCGTCGTCGTCGTCGTCGTCGTCGTCGTCATCGGTGTCGTCCCCGTCCTCGTCGTCATCATCGTCGTCATTATCGCCGTCGCCGTCGCCGTCGCCGTTGTCGTTGTCGTCACCGCCGCCGCGATCGCCGTCGTCGTCATCGCCATCGGGGGACACTAGTCTGGACTAGAACTCATAATCAATAATCTATACCACTGTGGTAAGTTTGTTAGGCCGAAGTTGCAGCTCGATAGGGGCAGCTGCCAATTCATCGATATGCGAGCTCATCCTAAAACGGTTATATCGGCTCGCCAAGTGCATGACGAAGCACCTTTAGGCTTGCTACATTCAGGGGAAGGCAATGATAGGTTTCTCCAACAACGACTGACAGACCAATACATTCGCCAACACAGTTTCAACAGCCCAATGAAGCTCGATGAACTTTGCCTCAAGCGTCGACGTGTACTCTATACGTCTGCGACTGAAGATTCAACTGAATTCACTGGACATGTATAGTGATGGCTAGTGAGAAGTTCCCTACTTAGAACGAGAACAGCTGCCCGCATGCTGTTGCCACTGACGTTTCCTCCCCGCCTCCGTGACTTAGCCCCCAGTGGTGCCGCAAGTGGGTCGCCACACCTCCCTCCATCCATCCCTGCCCACTTCTACGTCACACTTAAGAGTATGATGTCCCCAATCCTTCAGATAGGTCCCTGATGTCTTCCAGTCGTTCAGTCGTGGGAGCAGCAAGTGGGCTTAAACTACGACATGCATCAAAAGAGAACGAAGCTCACGAAGCTCAAGAATTCTCATCAAAAGCTTGAAGACCTGCCTCCCCCCCCCCCTGGCAGAGAGTGAGAATCAGGGCCGAGGTTGCGGTGGGCGGAATATTGTGCACCCCCCTAGTGGGTTGCTATGGCTTCGAATATCCCAACGGCAACCTAGGAGAAGGAGGAGGCTGGAGCGTCATGGGGGGGTCCACGTCATGTCCTCATCATCGCCGCCGCTGCCGCCTACCCCCGAGGTGCAATTCGACAGCCTGCAAGACAGCACGAGCTAACGAGTCGAGTCTGGCATCTCAGCATCCTTACCATCAGCACGATCATCATCTTCAGCATGACTGGTATCATACTCATCATGGTTATCATCATCCCCACACCGTCATCATCTTCAAAATCGTCGAGGTTATCTCTGGTATGGTATCTCCGTTGGTCCTCCTCCTCCGTCCTTCTGTTTCTCCTCCTGTTCCTCATCCTTCCCGCCGTCATCACCGACATGATCAATAGCAGGATGATTATCGTCATAATCATCGGCAACGCCATGGGCGCCATCATAATCATGATCATCAGCAGCACCACCACCGCCACCAGGCAACACATCATACCAAACATCAGCATCATAGTCTGTCCTTGTAGTCGTCCTCCTCGACCTCCTCGGCCTCCTCCTCCTCCTTCTCCTCCTCATCGTCATCAATCGTATCAGCAACATCATCATCAACAGCATGAGCAACATCAGCATCATCATCAACATCATCATAATCAACATCCGCAGCCTCATCAGTATCGAAACTCGCATCGTCATCTTCATCGTTATCATCATCATCGTCATCATCGGTTCAGTCAGAATCAGCATCATCATCAACATCATCAGCATCATAATCAGTGTCGACATCATTATCATCATCATCATCAGCATCATCATAATCATCATCATCATCATCATCACCATCATCACCAACATGAGCATCATCCTCATCCGCCTCATCATCACCACCGACATCAGAATCATCATCCTCACCAGCATCATCATCAGCAGCATCATCATCACACTCATGACTATTAGCATCAGCATCAACATCATCATCATCATCAGCAGCATCCGTTGTCATCGTCCATGCTAGCATGAGCATCAGCATCATCATCATCATCATCATCATCATCATCAACATCATCATCAGCATCATCATTGTCATCAGCAGCAGCATCATCAGCATCATCATCAGCATCAGCAGCATCATCATCATCATCATCAGCATCATCATCATCATCATCATCATCATCATCATCGTCATGTGTGTGATCATGCGCTTTTTCCTGCTGGTTCCGAGTCTCGGTCATCCTCATACCCATCATTTGACTCAAACTCTAACTGAACATCCGACTCCTGCTCCTCCCCCTCCTGTTGCATCTTTCTCCTACGTCCTCGTCCTCCTCTTCATACTCCTCATGTCCCCCTCGTCCATATTCCTCGTAGTCGTCCTCATCCATTCCTCTTTCCTCCCTCTTCTGTTATCTCTTATATTTTCCTTCTCCTCCTCCTCCTCAACATCATCATGTTCCTCCAACTCCAGCCTTAATGTACCCGTTCAATGCCACTTCCCCCTCACTCCTTCTCATCCTTCTTCTCCTTCTCATCCCTCCCTACCTCCCTCCGTCTCGTCGTCCTCATTATTCCTCCCTCCATCCCCCCATCCTCTTCCTCACACTCTCCCTGCTTGGTTCCTCTCCCCACCCCCTGTCTCTGTCTCTTCATCCTCCTCCCTTCGGGAGCAGGAGGAGGAACATGAGCGAGAGGGGAGGAGCAGCAGGAGAAGGAGCAGAGCCAGGAGGAGGAAGATGAGGAGTAGAAAGATCGAGGATGATCGAGCAGGTTCGAGGATCGAGGGGGGCTCTGGAGGCCTCTGGGGGCCCCAGCAGGAGATCTCCGGAAGAGAACTCCACAGGATCTCCAGGAGGAGGCGGAAGTGGACGAGGAGGAGGAGGCCAGAGATCTCCAGGAGGAGGCGGAGGAAGATGACCTCCAGAGGATCTCCCGTTCTCCAGAGATCTCCAGAGGACGCCGCAAAAGACGACGAGGAGCGGGAGGAGAAGGGCGAGGAAGAGGACGCAAAATTCACGGGCAACACCTTGGTTCTCCTCTGGGCCGGGCGCGACCGCCGCAGCTCGCCCGAGCGCGGGCGGGAAGATCCTCGGCGGCTTGCCGATTATTCAGCGGGGCGCCCGCCACTCAGGCCGGAGAGGAGATGGGGCGGCCCATGGGGCGGGCCTCGCTGCCTAATTCCACGCCGCAGCGGCGGCCTAGTCGAGCATGTCGGAAGAGAGGCCCAAAGGCATGGCCGCGGCCTGCAATAGGGCAACTTTTTTGCAGACTCGTTGGCACATGCCGAAGCTCGCTGGCGAGCAATGTTCCTGGAATATGATGAAATGAAAATGCACAAACATGTAAGCTCAATCCGCCAGCCTCCTTGTGGGGCCACCAGGCTCCGCGGATTAGCCTTGCTGCTCCCTGCGCCAGTTCCAGTTTCCTATCTCCGATGCTGCTTCCGCGCGAGGGGGGGAGCCGAAAAGGGCCCTGGTTACCACCACCTGGGGGGTTCTCAGAATTTCTGGCGGGTCCTGGGACACGTAGAAATACTTACGATTCGCACCCCCGAAGCCATAATCCTTTGTAAATTATCCCTACTCGCGCCCCCGAGGCCACAATCCTTCATCAATTACAAAGTATTCGCGTCCCCGACTTTCACAAATTTCGCAATACTGGCGTCCCCGAAGCCACGATCCCTTGTACAGTATGCGTTCTTCGCGTCCCTGAGATCATTAACCCTCGTACGATACGCAGTATTCGCGCTTTTGAAGCCACAGTCCTTCTGTGCAAAACACAGAAGACAGTACAAGAGGCCCCTTGGACGGTCCAAGAGTGCTCCAAGGCGCCAGAGATGATCCCAAGACGGCCCAAGAGGCAGAGCACCTCCAAGCGGGGCCCAAGAGGCCAACATCTGCGATGTTCCTTCGGTGTTTGATGGATTTGGGCACGCTCGCCTTTTCAGGCTCTCGACGATCCAAAACTCTCCAAGAGGCCCCACAAGACCGCCCCGAGACGGCCCAAGAGGCTCTCAAGAGCGACCCAAGACAGTTCAAAAGGGCCCCACAACGGCCCAGAGAGTGACCCAAGACGGGGGACCCGAAGCCAAGTGGCCCCCGTTCGGAATTCCGACGCTGCTTCACGACGGCGCCCAGGCCTCACAACACAGCTCTTGCATACCCCATTCTCCGAGAGAGGGGCCAGCGGCAGAGGGCGAAGCCCGTAAGTATAAGGTCTGCGGAACTTGAGATAAGCCCAGGCCCCCGGGGAAGACGCGCAAGCGCAGCGCAACGGGCCCGTGACCCTCAGAGATCAGTTCGTAGAGCGCGCTGCCACCGGGGAGACTGGCGGGCCCTATCGAGCCCTTCTTGGCCCTCAAAGCCCTCGCCCGCTTGGGGACCAGGGCCTCAGACACTAGGACCCTGGAGCCTAGAGCCAAGGCTCGAAGTCCCTAAGGGCTCCGAGCCTAGAGGGCCCCCCCAAGAACTCGCGAGTCAGAAGGCAACCGCTGGGCCCTCTCTCCCGGCGCTCCTCGATCCTCCCCGAGTGCCTCTCTCTGGCCATCCCAGGACCTCCGGGGCTCCTGTAGCCTCCGGGGCACCCAGCGCTCACTCCCAGGGGCGGGCGACAGGGGCACGCGCTTGCAAAGTGCAAAAATACCTAGGACTACGCAAAACAAATGCACCGGATCCCTGGTGCCCCTGGTCGCGCGTATCAGTTTTGAATTAGATGTGCATTATCTCGACTTGAACGTACAGTGTCCGTTTCTGTTGTAAGTGAATGCGTTCCAGCCCTCGCGCGACCGAACGCAGAGTGCAGAAACATGAAAAACAATTCAGGTTAGTGCGCGCCCGATCATCTCCAGAAGGCACCTGGGCGAACCTCTTCCCGCTCGCGCGACCTCCGTGGATTTCGCCTCCCTCCTCCTCTTCCTCCTCCTGCTCCTCCTCCCTCCCCTCCTCCTCCTCCTCCTCCTCCTCCTTCGTCCCCGCTCCTCCCCCTCTCTCCTCTACTCTCTCATCCTCCCCCACCTTCGCCCTCCCTCTACCCCCATGAGAGGACGCCTGTGGCAGACCCTGATGGGCGGACCCCATATGGGCGGACCCTGGTAGGAAGACCCCTGCGAAAGGCCTCTCATGGGGGGGCCCTATGGCGCAGACCCCGACGGGGGGACCCCGATGGGTGGACTCTTACCGGCGGACCCCTATGGGCTAACTGCGTTGAGCTTGGCAAAGAAGTAGCACTGTCTCGAATGAGCTGGGAACATGGGTGCGTGTTTTGCGATTCCAACCGAAAAAGATAAGAAACCAATGCAACACATATGATAGCCAGCGTGGACCCCACACAGTGTGTTCCTAACAACGTATGCTGTACAATCTGTGTGGAGAAATACATGTGGTGAGAACTGGGTTGTGCAATCTACGCAGTGCAATTGATTTTAACAAACGAGTTGACACATCCCGTGCTCTTGCAAACATCCCACCCACCCACCCGCAACTTGGTTTGCAAAACCCATACAGTGGCGATTGCGATGCATGCTCGGCATTGGCTGGTGCGTCTCCGCGGCCGCGGTGGCGCTGATCGTTGGGCACATACCAGCGGGCACTTCAGTGCGAGTCGGCGACTTGGGCGGGCGAGGTATCATGGCAACATCGACAACGGTAGACTTTGCGGGCGAGTCCCCAACAACTCCGACGACAACGACAACGACGACGACGACAACACCGACGACGACAACAACGACGACTCCGACGCCGACGACGATGACAACGCCGACGACGACGACGATGCCGCCGACGACGACGACGACGACAACGGCGACGCCGACGACGACGACGACGACGACGGGGTCGACAACGAGGGCGACGACGAAGACGACGACGGCGACGTCGCCAACGAAGACGACGACGACGGGGGAGGAGGGAGGACGACGACGGCGACGACGACAACGACGAGGGAGGAGGGATGACGACGACGACAACGAAATAGGAGGAACAACGACGAAACGCCGACGAAGACGACGAGGGAGGAAGGACGACCACGGCGACAACGACGACGGAAACGACGACGACGACGACAAGACGACGACGACGACGAGGAAAGACAGAAGACGACGACGGCGACGACGACGACGAGGGAGGAAGGAAGACAACGACGACGACGACGCAAGAGCGCGCGCGCACGCTGTTGTTGAATATCCGTGTTGCGAAGCCTTGTGTGCTTCATGTTTCTCGGACACACAATGTTGATATCCTTCCGAAACCGACAGCTTTTGAAGGATTTCGGCATGCGCGCGCGACGGCGCGCGCGTCTGCACTTCGTCCCGTTTCTGTTGCAGAGGACTCTCGCGACGGCACGCGCGCAAGGACGTTCGAATGACTTCGACATGCGCGCGCGCGAAGCCCGCTTGGTAGCATTTTTTTGAAAATCTTGAAAAACCGATGGTCTTCGCAAGATTTCGCAAACGCGCGCGCGTAAGCTTTTTTAGAAAAGGCACTGTTGCGAAACCATGTGCTGCTGTATAATGCTTTTGGGGACTCGATTTTGAAATCCTTCCGTAACCGAAGGTTCTTGAAATATTTCGGCATGCGCGCGCGACGACGCGCGCGTGTGCACTTCGACATCTTTTTGAAAGCTTATGATTTGTGATAAACGAGTGCGCAGGCAGTGTAGTGTTTTGCAAAGGTTGGCGGGGGTAGTGATACCGGCCTGGCTGAGATAGTATGGATTCATATTTAGGATGGACAATGGGGCATAATCACATGTAAATTGCAATACAAAAAGGGTGACCCGTTAACTCCGGGAAGGGTCTAATCTATGTTTTCGTGTCAGAAAAGGGGAGTCTACGATGTGCAACTTTTGCGGTGCAACGTCGGTTGTGCAATTTACGTGGCGCACGCGTGCAATGTATGCTGTGCCATCGACGTGGCTCACTCTACGTGGTGCAATTCAGTTTGCACGATTTGAAAATGTCGGCTCCACTGCTCGGGCAATCATCCCACCCACCCAGCCGCAACTTGCTTTGCAACATGGCCGCGATTGCGGTGACTGCTTGGCACTGGCTGGCGAATCGCTGCGGCCGCGCTATCGCGCGCAAGCTCGCGCGCAGAGCGGCCAGCCAAGTTGGCGCGACCGACGCGGCCGCGGGCACTTCAGTGCGAGTTGCTTACTTGGGAGGCACGGTACCATGGTGACGTCGACAATGGCGGACACGATGAAGATAGTAACGGTGACGGGGGCCATGACGACGAAAACGACGGCAAGGCCAATGACGGCAACGATGCTGGTCACGCCAATGACGATAACGGTGTCCACGTGTCGGCGACGACGTTGTTGGAAGGATGTCGACATGCGCCTGCTGCCGACGCGCGCGAGAAGCCCGCATGGTATTGATCGACAGGAACCGTGCCCGCCCAGCAAGCGCGCAAGGGCGTTCGATTGAGTTCGACCAGCACGCGGGAGGCCCGTATGGTACCAGTTGACGAACATGTTGGAATATCAAGGCTTTCTGATGACACAGCATAAGCGCAAATATCACTATGAAAAAGCATGTAGCAAAAACCATGTGTGTTCTACATGTTTCAGGAACCTCGATCTTGAACTCCTGACGAAACTTAGGGAATTTGAAAGGTTCGGCATGCGTGCGCGACGCCACGCGCGTATGGATTGTGTCCTGCTCTTGCAAGGAACTCTTGAAACATGTTGATTTGTGATCAACGAGTGCGCACGTATAGTAATATTTGGCGCGGATGAGGGGGGGGCGCGATGAGGGAACTCCCAGGGATGGTAGGAGCTCATATAACAAACGAACCATGGAGCATAATCGTATGTATGTTGTATTTCCCGGGGGGAAAGCGATAAACTTGGGAGGGGTGGGGGTAGAGGGTAGAGTCGAATTTCCTTCTAGAGACGAGAATATACGTTATGCTATATATGTTGTGCAGCGGGGCGGCGACGGGACGGGGCGGCGACGGCGACGACATGGCCGCCGGAACGACCCCCAGGCCCGGACTACGGGCGGCGACGAGGCGGCGACGGGGCGGCGACGGAGACGACATAGCCACTGCACCGCCACACAAGCCCAGTTCCGTACAAGGCAAGCGAAGACCCCTAAGCGCAAGCACTGTTAAGAAAATAAACAACATATAACACATAGGAACGACAACGGAACACAAGCATCATGCAACCCAACATAAGCAAACAAGCTAATTGAACCACTTGCATATTGTCTTGGTTCATATTTCCACACTTCGGGGATCATGTATTTACATATGGATGACATTCACTTATTTTCTCCATCCTGTGCAGCGATCGCCCATTGCAAGTCGCGGCCACGATTCAGACATGCCTCAGCGGCGCCCAAAGCAGAAGCAACCTCTGCCCAGGCCTCCAACTGCTCGACACCTCTCCCCGCCGCGCCCGCGCCTGGAGCCCTCGGCCCCTTCCCCTGGACCGGCTCTCCATCCCTGGGCCGTTCTTCTTGGGCGGCGCGCCGAGGGGGGAGGTGAGAGGGGGCGGGCCTTCTCAGAAGGCGAAGCCCCGCCGCCGTCGGAGAAGGCCAGTCCCCTCTCCCCCCCTCGGCGCGCGGCCGATCTTCGACGGCCCCAGGGCACCGGCAACGGACCCCCTACGCCGAGAATGGCAAAAACAACGACGAAGAACACAAAAACAAACTCTGGCGCAGATCTCTCGGGTCGCCGGGGGGCCTGGGCTCCGCTGCACCCAAGGAGTGACCCCGGGCAAGATGTGAGCTCCGATGCGCGGGCTCACAGGCCGCGGGGGAGAGGGCAGCTCCAGGTACGCAGGCCAGTGCTGGGGGTGGCCTTGTTGCGCCACCAGAAAATGTCCATATCCACCACTCCTCGAGACCCAAGGGCGCGACCCCGAAGCGGTGAATATGGACACACTCTGGCGGTGGACCTGTGAGCCCACACCAAATGTCACTCCAGCGAGGGGTCACTCCCCTGCGTAGCCGATGCGTAGCGGACCGAGGAGCTCTGGCACCTGAATTCATGACAGCGGCAGCCGAGGCCTCCCGATGCGAGGCGACGCGCTGTGCCTCTGCATCCTGGGGCGCCAGGCCGCGGATCATGGAGCTGGAGCCTCGATCGTCGCTGTACTATGCCGAATTCTGGGACCTCAGGAGGTGATGGCATTATTTGGCATAGTTGCTCGAAGCCCAGATTTCCGACGATACAGGTGCTTCAATCTGGACGTGTTTCCTCGATTCCGGCCTCTGCGGCCCGCATTCAGGCCCCCGGACTATCAAAAATCGATCCGAGGCGAAAGACTGGCCACGGGAAGGTGATCGGGACCGCTGGGGCCTCGCAATGAAAAGCATCATATCGTCGGATGTGCGAGAACGGGTCTTGGAGGAAATGGGTCTTAGAAACATTGCGCCGTTTTCGGGCCCCTCTGGGGCCCACCACGGGCCCCTAGGCCGTCACAAAACACGGCTCAGGATGAAAAGCTCGTCTTGGGAAGAGCTCCAGGGTCCAAAACCCGTTTCCGTCAGATCCAAAGCAGATAGGCTCAGAGAGGCTCGCACAGCGTCGCCGATATGTCGGCGGCGCTTCGGCGAAGCTCTGGTGGAGAAAATCGGGCCCCAGATCTCGCCGCACAGTGGTTGTGGTGAGATATCGCACGTCGAGAGCAAACATCGCGCCAAGCTGCTCAATTGAAGCGGATGCATCACGTAAGATCATGAGGCTGGAAATTTCCAACAGCTACGCGGATGGAAGGTGGGTCATTTTCAAAATGAGGCTGCCGCCTGCGCGCAGCGCGCATTCGTCGTCAAACTCTTCAGCAGCTAAACAGATGGAGGACGGGCCGTTCCTAAAACATGGCTCTCGCCTTGACACCGCGCACTCGTCTTATTAACTCGAACTGTCTACAGGAATGGAGGGCGGACATTTTCAAAATGGGGCTCGCACTCGAGCGTGGACTGTTTGCACGACCATAAAAAAAACATGCGCAACGGATAGAAGACGGTTCTTCTGCAACATGGGAATGTTCCTTGCCACGTCCTTGCGCTTGATCAGCCCCCAACTCCCTCTCCTCCGTCCTCCCACAATCTCTCCTTCGTCCTCCCTCGCTCTCTCCTCTTTGCATCCTCCTCCCTCCTCCCCCCCCCTCAAGGAGAAAGCCAACTTACAGCCACCTCGGTCAGTTCCAAAACTAACTGGCACACATTTCAACCACCCGCATGGGAGAACACCTATATTACCATCCTTCAGAAACTCTGGGCCGCCTCTTATGAGCCCTTACGCGGCCTTTCAAATGCCCTTGCGCGGCATCTTTAAACCTCTGGGGCTGGGGCCTCTTTCGTAAATGCGTCAGGGAGGTCTCTCTCTCTCTCTCTATCCATCTCTCTCCCTCCGATTTGGCTTCTGAAAGAAAAAGGAAAAAAGAAGAGAACAAAAAAAACGCCCTAAAGGCTTCTGAGAGACTGGCGAAAGGCTTGAAGGCTTCTGGAATGTGGTCGAAAGGGCTCGTTAAGGCTTCTGAAAGGCTTCTGAAAGGCCCCCCATGAATCTGAAGCTGCTGAGAAGTCAACCATAAGCATGAACCCGGCGAGACCCCAATAGGGGAAAACTTCCTACTGCATGGGCGCAGTGCTTGGCTTTGCTTGGCACTGTTTGGCAGTGCTTGGCATTGCTTGGCAATGCTCGGCATTGATTTAGCATTGCTTAGCAATGCCTGGCATTGGAACCCGAGGAACCTCCAAGCAACGAGGAACCCGAGGAACCCGAGGAACCTCCGAGGAACGAGCAATGTAACAAGACGAGGCACGGGGGGCGAGGAACCCGGGGAACCCAAGGAAACGGGGGAACCTCCGAGGAACGGGCTACGTAAGACTCGGAAGCACCGAGGGCGAGGAACCCGGGGAACCCAAGGAACCCAAGGAACCGCCAAGGAACGGGCACAGTAGCCCTTCGAGGCACCAAGTGTGAACCCCTTAGGCAAGCCGGATCAATGAATTATGAGAGGCTTCCAAGTGGCTTCCAAGAAACGTCTGAAGGGCTTCTGAGAAGCTTCTGGGAGGCTTGGTAAAGGCTCTCGGAACAATTATTAGAGGTGGATGCGCTTCCTTCACCTACTACACAATAGCCGGACGTTGCATGAGCCATGGCTTCGACAAGTGTGCAGACGTTGCCCGAAGTCCAGCCGCTAGCTGCGAAGGCAAGACTGATCTATGTGTAGCAACATGCTCAGGCACCAACTAAGTAACACTTGACAAACCCAGCTAGAGTTTGCGAATATTTTGCAGCGTTAGCCAGCGCGGACGCCAAACACTCAGACACTGCACTGTGGAGGGGCAGCTATGCAATGCAAGCTAAGTTATTAAAGATATGTCGTGGATCAGCTGTGTGGTGTAGGCTATGTGGTGCAAGCCCAACGCACGGGGCGTCAATCAGCGCCCACGAGGCGGCATAGGTGGCAACGCAACCTCGGCTCCCACGAGAGCCCACGCGGCGGCACGGGGGAAGACGTGGCGAAACCTCGGCAAGCAGCCACATCGCACGAGGCGCCACACGAGCGCGCACAAAGCGGCACTGGCGGCAACGTGACGCAACCTCGGCAAACCCTCCAGCGGACGGGGCGACCACGAGCGCCCACGCGGCGGCATTGGCGGCACTGTGGCGCAACCTCGGCAACCCCGCCCTCCCCCAGCGTATGGGGCGCCCACGAGCACCCACGAGGCGGCACGAGCAACAGCGTGGCGAAAACCCAAGCTACCCAACCAACTACCCAGGGATAACAAATAAATGTGACGTCGGTGTCAAGCGTATATTGAACGTCGGGAAGCACATAGTCTGTGCAAGTGTTCCAATAACGATTACTTATCAGAGCGAATTTCAGCATGGATCTACGATTGTAACTGCTTGTCGTGCTAGCAATCACCTGCTAGCTCTAGTCACAATGTAAAACGCAACTTCCGGCTCCAGTACTTAGCTAGAGGTAGGTGACTCTGATAAGCCAGATAAGACGCACAGGAAAACCAACAATACGCCATCACCACCATCCTGATGACTAGCCAGAGTACCAATAATCAGCTCATACCCAGTAGGTGTTCGATCCATTAAAAATTGCAGGTCAAATGGCGAAGTACAAATCAGGAAATTCTTAGAACCATCAGCACTCCCAATAGGTAGTCGCAGTCACAATCAGTTGTCAGAACTACCGTCCGCATGACTATTCAGAATTCAGCGCGAATCGAACCTGTCATTCCAGGAATCACGACGACAACACCAACAAAAAACAGCTGCACATCCAAAACGTAGCTATACTTAGCCACGACCCAACTAATTCCCAGCAGCTCCATTGCCACATGTAATGTAAACCATGTAGGCTGCTCTAGCTAACTGCCGCTTAGTATGACGGTGGAGATTCGCTCAACGCCTTGGTAGACCCTGTCGCCACGGGTGTTTCAGAATCCCAAACACACATTTGAGGCAATTCGCTCTATCCTGGACCTGTGTAGACGGCCTGAGCGCTACTATCAACGCTTTGAACGACGCCCTGTGTGTCGCAAGCGGAAGAGACCGATCACAACTGGTTGCGATCGGTGCCAAGTATCCGGAAAGGGTCCACAATAAAAGCCCTTTTAATAATAAAAACACAATTTCAAGCGCGGGCTTATTGACGGATTGGGACCGAACAGCACTGGAAAAATAATTCCCCTCCCGCGGCGGCCACTGCTGAGGCCTCCGCCTTCTTCAGGAATTTTCAAGAATCCTACAACATCCCAGGGAATGTCTAGGAACCCTAGGAATCCCTCGGACTCACACTGATTTTTCATAATATAGTCGGAATCCTAGGAAACCTGAGCTCCCAAATCCTGTCGCGCAGGGTAGCCCAAGAGGAGACATTACCCGCGAGGATAAACAACCACCCAACAATGACTCGCACGGCGAACAATAGCGCGCGAATAATTGCCGCGAGGAAGAGGGCGAGGAGGGGAGCACGAGGGGGATGGCGAGGAAGGAGAGCGAGGAGGAGGGCGAGGAGGGGAAGGACGAGGACAGGAAGGACGAGGGGGAGGTCGAGGCAGAGAGAACGAGGAGGAGGGCGAGGAGGGAGAGCGAGGAGGAGAAGGTCGAGGAGGGGAGGGGCGAGGAGGGAAGGGACGACTGTTCCCAGCCGAAAGGAAGGGGAGGGGAGGGGGGAGGAGGGGGGAGAGTCCCCCATCATGAAAGACCCTCCGCGGTCAGTTGCGTCAGCCTCATACGGTTGCGATCGTGTTGCCATCGCCCTTGCCCTCGTCCTTCCCGAAAGACCCACGAAATGAAATGCCGATGAGCCTCGATCGTCGACCCTCGATCCGCGAACTTTGCATCAATCCTCGATCCTCGAATCTCGGCTGCACGCAAACGTGACCCCAGGCGACAGTGACCTTTGGTGTGCAGATTTGGGGGGTCGCCGGGGGGAGAGTGGAGCGGGTGGGGGGGGGAGGGGTGGGGGGGGGGGGGGGGGGGGGGGCAAATCCAGACAAAGAAACCGCAGGTGTCGCACCGCACTCAGCGATCGCGGGACCCACTGGGCCTCGATCCTCGATTCTCGAAGCGCGAGGCCCGCATCGGTCCTCGATCCGATCCCCACCTCGAATCCTGGTCATCGAGGATCGATTGCCGGTCGTCGAAGCTCGATCCTTGGTCCTCGAAGCTCGATCCTGGACGCTCGATCCTCGGTCCAAACCGATTCTCAACCCTCGAAGCTCCATTCTTGAAGCCCAGTCCTCGGACCTCGGACCTCGGACTTCGGACCTCGATCCTGGGTCCTTCATCCTCGGTCCTTGATCCGCGATCCCCGAATCCTAATCTTCGAACCGTGGTCTTCGCTCCAGGAGGCTCGATCCCTCACAGCGCGGGCCGCGCCGCGCGGGCCAAAAGCGACCCCCCCCTCAAGCACGCGAGGGAACGCCGCGCGGCCGCGGGAGGCCGACGCTCAGCTGCACGCTGCCCTGGGGGGCGCGCAGGTGCGCCGCGCACCAAAGGGTGGCACGTCGTCGCTGCCGCCAACAACGAAGCCAAGACCGGGGCAACATCAAATCGGGATGAATCGAAGATCTCTGAGATCCAGCGGCCCTGAAGTATGTCTCGGGCGCCGCGGACATTCCAGAGCGCTCCAGAACGCTCTGGTACAATGTACGTCGATCTCCAGCCTGCCTGGCCACCGCTACCGCCTCGTCGTCCTCGGCTTTTTGGTCGCATTCGTCCTTCTCGGTCGCTCGGCCTGCTGGTCCGACTTCGGGCAACGCTGACGAGGACGCAGCCCGCGCCGAGGAAGAGGGGGCGGTGCATAGTGGACGGGGACGCTGATGAAGAAGGAGGCTACGCACTGAGAGACATCACGGAAGTCGACTTAGCGAACGGTGTCAACCCATGGAATCCAACATAATCCGCCCAAGCTGTCCTTGACAGAACGGACCAAGTGTCACATACCCATGATACGCTGTTTCGTTCGGCGGATAACTGAGTTCTGGTAGCGATGGCTCGCTGCGATCAGCGGGCTGCTCCTCCAGAGAACTGGGAGGGGGACGGAAAGACCCCTCCGAGGAAAGAGCCAAAACACAGCACGCTGAAAACCCATGTTTTAAAGCGGGACCCCCATTCCCTCTACACAGGGGTTACATTGTATATTGAGGCTTTTGCAAGGGACAGCAGGGAACGAGCAAGCGCGAAGTTTAAAAGGTCTGGCTTTTTGCAGATTGCGCAATGCGACTGCGGCTATCTCATTGTCTCTCCCGCGCAAGTGCGCGTGCGGGAGGCCTGCGTTGCAACAAACGCCCGTGCGACTGAAACGCGTGTGCTCAGCCCTGCAACATCCTCAGGCTCACGTCCAATGAACATGCACACACAACCATGCCTCCACGGCGCTCCGAACATGAATCTGTCGCTCACAACTTTTGCCACCGGCTCCGCTGGGATCTCACTGAGGTAATCCGAAATATGCCCACACCCGACTGCCCTGCGGCACCTCGAAAAGAAAAGGGGCACGAGCATGCCAGGGCGCCGACGCAAGCCTCCTTACCCTCTCCGAAAAACGCCGCAGGCGATGCCGACAGAAGCGCTTGCAAGTTGCCTTGCAAGCCCCCGCCGCTGTCGGCGACAGGAACATCGCGGTCGCCTCTGAACGCCGCGCGCGCGCCAGCAGACGGTGAAACTCCCCAGTCGCCTTTGCATCGTCCACAACCTCTGCCGCGCCCTCGTTTCCATGCCCGTGGGGTCATATTTGCTGGGGGTGGCGTCCATGGCGGAGCCAGACGGGCGACGTCTCTTGATGCCACTGCCTATTGACGGGTCTACTGAACGTGCTCTCTCATATCCAGCATCCTCTGTCCGATGCCACATTGATTCGACCACTCGCGGCCAGAGTTAGCATCATGCGAATCGCGGTCGGGGGCCGCGGCAGGGCCACGGGCCTCCCTACCAATCGCCGCGCGCCCAGCTCATCAGCCGAGCCCGTTCCGCCATATTCGCATCCGTCGGAAACCAACGCTGGAGGTAGAGGAGGCACAAGGACAGACGATTCCGGTTCCTCGCTCTCGTCCTGAACTCGGGAGAAATGCTTCGACGACTCCACCAAAGGTGGCCGGTATTCAGCTTCAGCATGGTTCCGCATCCTCAGGGTCGCCATGGTGCTCAGCCTTCTGCCACTCTTCGCAATGCGTCCGTTGATTTCTCATGTTCGTTGAGCGCCCATCCCCTTACTCCACCGAAGGCCCAAAAGGCAGCGCCCGCATGCGCCCGTCGCGCTCATCTCGGCACACCCACCATAATACGTTTCGTGGTCCCCATAGAGAACTCCGTCGAGGGCCCTAGAGGGAACTCCACCGAGGGCACCAGTTGCCGCGCCCAGGTGACGCCGCCATTCCACCTTGGCACATCCCTCACACGTTTCGTGCCCTCATGAGGACCTCCACCAAAGACGATATTCACGACTGCGGTACTCACAACTGCACATGGTTGGGTTCTTCGCCCAGCTAACTTGTTATTCCCCTTTGCAAGAAAGATGCTCGGTTTGGATGTAGTTTGCCGTTGGAGCGTCATGCGATCGCAACAGCCATACGCGAATCAAGCAGCTGTCCCTCGTCACAGTCATCATCATCTGCACCGCCAACAATCAGCACAATCATCACCGCCATCACCATCATCACCATCGCCATCTCCATGACAATCACAATCACACCATGACTATAACCATCATCATGATTATCCTTCGCGTCCTCCCCTCTGCCCCCTTCATCATGCTCTTCCCCTCAACCCCATCCACCCCCGTCCGCAGGCACACCATGCATACCCACACAAAAATGTTAGTTTTGCGGCCGGCGGATAAAACGGAACGAGGGCACTAGCAGGACGCACTATGAGTGATTAGTACCAAACGTGCGCCAATAGGACGACAACAGACAAAATGTTGACGGATGTAAATGAAAAGATGCCAACGGACATGCGCGTGAGGCAGTGGCACGCAGAGAATGCCCAAAGGCTTGGTACGTCGGGAGTCGTCGTACGCCACCAGCTTGGAGGCGAGGCCCTCCAATTCGACACAGTTGCGCCGGCGCCAAAAAAAACGACCCGTGACAACAGCGGCAGGAAGAGGCAAAGGAGGAGACGACATCAAGGGACCGAGATGAACACGGAGCTGGGGGAAGGAGGGGCGGGGAGCGCCAATGACGACCCGACAACTGGGGGGGAAGGGCGAAACTCTGGGCGACAGCCCGGGGGACGAGCAAGGAGGGAACAGAGGAGCGACGCACGACCAGAAGAAAGAGACACACACACACTCACGCAACACTGACACACAAGTCAAACGGCGAAGGCGCGTAAACGCTGACGCCCACCAGAACCCGATGGTAACCCGAACCCCCCCTTTTAACATCATGCAAGCTCATCGTACCAAATCATCATGTGCTTAGTCCTCATCCTCCATCACTGTGCAAGACATATCTGAAATATAGCTCCTCTTCGTTTCCATATTAGACGTGTCGCTAGGGCCTGCCGGGGGTTCGGCCTGATAATTCCTCGCACATGATGGCCCTAAAGCTTGAATATTCCAACTTCTACAAGGATGGAGGGCGAGTGGTTTTCATAGTAGAGCTCTCGCCTTGGCGCCGCGCGCATTCATCTTGAAAGGTTGGAAACGACACACGGATAGAAGGCTGGTCGCTTTCACAAAACAAGATGTCGCCTTAGCGCGGCGTGATCTCGCCTTACAAGTCTACAACAGGTACAAGGATGGAAGGGGTGTGGCTGTGAGAATGGGACTCTCGCCCTAGCGCCGCGCACGCTCGCCCTACGACTTTGCAAAATGCCGTATCCCCAGTCATCCTGTGGTGTTGGGTCCCATCCTGTGGTGTTGGGTCCTCGCTTCGAAAAAATCAGCGCCGCCATCCACTCCTCCTAACGGTGCCCCTCCTCCCTCCTCCCATGATTGCACCTTCCCTCCACATGTCCATGTAGGCACACCCCTCACCCGTCTAGTGGTCCAAGAAGGAGTTCCACCGGAGGCTCTAGTGGCAGCGTTCGCATGCGTTCCACGGCCCATGTCGGCAAACCCTTCACACGCCTCGTGGCTCCATGGAGAGCTCCACCGAAGGCCCCAGCGGTTCGCATGGCGTACCCGCCCCTGATCTGGCACAGTCCTCACACGCTTCGTGGCTCCAGAGGGGAGCTCCACCGAGGGCCCCAGCGACTGCGTTCGCATGGTGTGCCCACACCCGAGTTGGGCACCCCTCTCACACGACTCGTGGCCCCATAGGGAGCTCCATCGAAGGCCCCAGTGGCTGCGCTCGCATGGTGTACCCGCCGCCGTTTTGTGGCCCCGTAGGGAACTCCACCGAAGGCCCCAGCGACGGCGTTCGCATGGCGTACCCACACCCGATCGGGCACATCCCTCACAACACGTGTCGTCGCCCCACAGGGAGCTTCACTGAAGGCCCCAGTGGCAGCGCTCGCAGGCGCACCCCTGCCCCTGATTCGGCAAACGCCTCACACGGCTCGGGCCCCTGTAAGGAACTCCACCAGAGGCCCCAGTGGCAGCGCTCGCATGGCCCACCCGCACCTGATTCGGTACACCCCTTACACGCTTCGTGGCCCTACGGGGAGCTTCACCAAAGGCCCCTGTGGCTGAGTTCGCATGGTGTACCCGCACCCGGTTCGGCACACCCCTCACTTGATTCGTGGCCTTGAAGGGCGCTCCACCGAAGGCCGCGTTCGCTGCGCTCGCACGGCGTACCCGTACCCGATCCAGCACGCCCCTCACACGTTTCGTGGCCCTATAGGGAGTTGGCCTTGTTTCGTCTCGCCTGCCTTGCGGCAGCCGCGCCCGCATATGATCTGGCCTTTCGCCATGATAAAGTTCACAGTTGGCACATTGCCTTAGCGCCGCGCGCATTCGTGTTAAAAATCTGTCAGTGCACGCCGGCTCCGTTTTCAAAGCCCAAACACTTCAACTTATGTGTCAGCTGCACGGATGGAAGGCGGCGTCTTGTCAAAAATGGGTCCCCGCTTTACTTCCTCGAAAATGTTGGCTGGAACCTGTAATCTGATACAACAGTTACACAATTTGGGACGGTCCTTGGTCAAAAGCGAGATGTCGACGGGAGTTCCGTACGGATGCATAATTAAGCAAGGGGCATTGGACGGCAAGGTGTCTTGCAGCACCGTTGATGCATCTTGGGCGCCTCCTGTTCCTCCTCCCTCTGCCCCTGCGCATTCTCCATCATCCCTTTCTTCCGGTGGCGATGAACAAAACACTTGGTGATTTCCCTTGGCGACAAAAACGCTGTCAGCAGCACACACGCTGCAAGTCAAAGAAAACGAGTGACGCCTGAGCATCGCCAAGGCTGCACAAGACTCATGCCTCAACAATACAATCGCGTTTGCACGACTTGCCAACCATTATAACTGATATTCGCGGGCCGCACTTGGTTTTCTCTTGGTAAATCCCATGTTTGAATTCCATGTCTGTCTGCGTATCAAATGCGAATATGTCTCCGTTTGCTTGCGGAAACGCAAACTCGCGACTCGTATGCGCATGCCGGAACGTGAGGTCTCTGCAAGCGCCGAAAGAGGCGCCAGCTGTAATGTCGAACATGCGTCCCCAGCGAAGTCCCTGGTTGTTGCTCTGGTGGTCGTGATGGAAGCCCAGGCCGACGTTGCACTCCTCGTAAATGTTCGCCCACCAGGAGAGCAGCTCGGCATCGACGCCGTCGGCAAGACTTCGCAACACATACGAGAAGGCGGGGAGCTCGTCGCCGTTCAGGTCCTGGACAATTTCACCGTCGAGCAAGCCGCATCCGTTCATCCCTGGGATCGACCACTTTATCCTTGCTGATCCTTTTGTACCTCTGCTCCACGCCCCCTCGCCGCGTCCGAGCTCCTTGCGAAGGGCGTCGAAGAGCCCGAGGTCGTCGATGGACTGTCCGAAGACGCCCCGCAGGTGACGAGCGCCACCCTGGAGCACGCGATTGAAACTGCTGGTCAGGCCGTGCTCCAAGATCAGCGCTTGTGCCGATGCCATTTTGGACAGCGGGAAAAGCCCCTGCTGCGCCATCAGTCCTCCGAGGTCCACAACGCCAGCACCACTGACCTGTGCGCAGTGTGTACCGGTGCGGATGCAGCCCAGATCGCTCGTCAGAAGGGCCTGCAGATTCGCTGGCGAGGTCCACTCCTGATCTGAGGCAGTTGGTTGAGTGGCCCCAGGGCTGGGGGCTCTGATGGGGGGATCCTGAGCCTCAGCCCGCCTGACATCTGCCACCGCACGGTGCCGGCGTGTCCAACGATGGGACGCGGCCGAGCTTGCCATGCCAGCCGGCGGCAGCGCGCCGCATGGCACGCGATCCTCCCCTCCGCCGCGAGGCGGCTCGAGCCAAAACAATCTGAAGCTGAACGAACAGGCGGACGATTAACGGGACGATCAACTGCCTGGATGTCATACATCGCTGATCACAAATCAGGCGAGAACATCTAGCTGTTAACCCCTGGGGCACGTCTGACGTGATTTCTGCCTCTGGATACTGGGGGGGCCCACCAGGCCATGTGGCATCACTGCTCTTGGACGGGAACTCCGGACGCTGGATCCCAGAACGAACTGGCGGAGTGAGCAGGCGCGGGGGGGGCTTGAGCGAAGGCAGGCGGAGGAGCACGTGCTCGTGTGCCTCGCCTCTCGGGCACAGAAAGGCGACTCTCCCATACCTCGGGCCCGGGGCGGCCCTCCTGCATGCTGGCAGGCTGGACCCAACCCTTTCCACGCATCCACAATCCACAAGAAGTGGGTAGAAACATGAAGTAGGACGGCGTTGAAAGTAGATTGTGTTCCCACCCGCCCCCTGAACAGGAGGAATGAGGAAAAACCGCCCAACTCTGAAATAGTCACTGGCTTTCAAAGACTAATCGGCACGACCATTCGCGACGGCGGTGTCACTTCGCCAGCGGAGGGTGGGCTTAAGGCTTGGAGTTCGGATACCAGGGTTTGGACCTATGGCGGCGGCCGCCCAGGGTGATGCGGCCACCAGCGTCTGTGGCATGGCTTCGGCCTCCGCCCTGTCCCCCTCCCGAGGGAGGCAAGACGGCATAAAAGGATATAAAAGGGCTACTGGCTACCATCTGTGTTGAACACAAGAGAAAACAATGCCACACGCAAGGGGACATCCGGACATTCAATTGCCCGTTGCTATTCGATTCATTGATGTGCCCCTGCATATCTGACCATCCAGAGACACCAATCGTGAATCACGCTCGCAAGCCACTGTACTTCCGTCTCTCAGGACTCCCGTGAGCCCGAAGACAGATGGGCAAGAGAGCCCAAGTAGCCTCCATGGGCGCGGCAGGAGTGCCCAGAGGAGCCCCAACAGTCGAAGATCGTGGCCACAGCCATTATATCCAACCCCCTTGTCCTCACACCCTCTCGGGCGCCCCGATCCTTCACCCACCTCCCTCCCTCACTGCCTTCCCTTCCTTCTTCCCTCCCTCTGTTCATTCCCTCCCTTCGTCCCCCGCACTTGGACTCCTCTCGATTCCTCTTGGACCTAACCTTCCCTCCCTTCCTGAGGCCTCCCCCCTTACTTGGCGCCTCCCTCATTCCCTTCCTGGAGCCCCCGCATTTGTCCATTTATGGGGCAAGTGACCAACTGGGCCAAGCCGAGAAACGCAGGGGGTGAGGCACACATCCCTTTCGCCCTCCCTCCCTGAGGCCTCCTCCCTACATCCCTCCCTTCCTTCCTGAGGACCCCCGTCCTCCCTCCCTCCCTCCCTCCCTCCGTGAACCGCGCCCTCTCGCCCTGAGACCCCCTCCCTCTCTCACCTGGCGCCGCCCCCCCCAGCCACTCGGCGGCCGGTGCCAGCCTGGCCCACCGCCGGCGCGGGGACGGAAACACGGCAGCCGAGGGCCGCGGAGCCGGCGACGCTGGTGTCCGCCTCTGGGGGGGCAGCAGGCACGGGCCTCCTTCCTCCTCGTCGTCCTCCTCCTGGTCCACAATCAACACGTCACTCCGAACCATGCCTCCTAGCAGGCCTTCTCATCATCGGCTGGGCTGGGAATAACCACCATTGCAGGCAGTGACTCATTCCATTTCCCACGCATCAGGGCAGAGCTCGACCACGCATTTCCCATCTGTCCGATGCGAGGAAATACCTATACGACCACCCTTCGGGTGATTTGGGGGCTTGTAGGGGGGAGCAACCAACTGATGACAACTGCAGACACCATCAGGACACCATCGAGACACCGTCGAGACACCAATCGGCTACAAATTGGGACACCATCGGGACACCATCAAAACTCCATCGGGACACAGTCGGGTTACCATCCGGACACCACTGGGACACCACCGGGACACCACTGGGACACCACCGGGACACCAATCAAGAAACCAATCGGGACACCACCGGGACACCATCGGCACACCACCAGGACACCATCGGGACACCATCGGGGCACCATCGGGCACCATCGGGGCACCATCTGGACACTAATCGGGAAACCAATGGACACCAATCGGGAAATCAATCGGGACACCACCAGGACACCATTGGGACACCACCAGGACACCGTCGGGACATCACTGGCACACCATCGGGACACCAGCGGGACACCACGACACCACCAAGGCACCATCGGAACGCCACCGAGACACCGTGGGACACCACGGGACACAACGGCGGGACACCCCAAGCCATCGCTGGACAACCCGGGGGGGTCGGTCTTTTGGCCTGGCGGCACCCTAGCCAAAGGAAGGTCATTCCCCTAGCCCGCCCACGAAATTTCGCCCCATCCGCACGCACGACACGAACACGAAACCGAAACCGATTTCCCGGTAAAGGGTACCTCCTTCTCACTTCGATCACCCCCCCCAACCACCGATACATCCTAGAGAACACCGAACATTTCCCCCGAAATGGGAAAAAATTACGCTACCGAGGAATCCGACACATTTTATTTATGTCTTTTGTGCACCATACTATGACCACCACCGCCCTCATCGTCCATCCTCCTCCCGCCGTTTCTCATTCCCTGCTTTCCTCCGCTTTCCTGGATGAGCTCCCTCGCCCTCATCGTCAATCCTCCTCCCACCGTTTCACATTCCCTGCTTTCCTCCGCCCTCCTCCTCCTTCTCCTCCTCTTCCTCCTCCTTCTCCGCCTCCTCATCGACCGCCCTGGACGACCGTCACGGATAGCGGCCGCGGTAAGAGACCACCTCCTGCGCACCCCCCATGGTGTCGAGAATATGCCATGCCTGCTGTGCCCTGGACGACCGTCACGGATAGCGGCCGCGGTGAATGACCCCCCCCTGCGCACCCCCCACAGTGTCGAGAATATGCCACGCCTGCCACGCTTTGCGAGCCCGCAACGGATAGGGAGACCACCCCAGCGCACCCCTCGTGGTGTCGAGAAAGTGCCACGCCTGCCGCGCTCTCCGACCCTGGCAGGCATAGAGGCAGCGCTGAGAGACCACCCCCTGCGCACCCCCATGATGTCGACAATTCGCCATGCCTGCTGTGCCCTGGGCGACCGTCACGGATAGCGGCCGCGGTGAGACACCACCCCCTGCGCACCCCCTATGGTGTCGAGAATCTGCCATGCCTGCTGTGTCCTGGACGACCGTCACGGATAGCGGCCGCGGTGAGAGACCGACCCCTGCTCACCCCCTAAGGTGTCGAGACTATATATATATATATATATATATATAATATATATACACCATACCTGGACGACCGTCACGGATAGCGGCCGCGGTGAGACACCACCCCCTGCGCACCCTTATGGTGTCGAAAATATGGCATGCCGACTGTGCCCTGGGCGACCGTCACGGATAGCGGCCGCGGTGAGACACCACCCCCTGCGCACCCCCTTAAGATGTCGAGGATCTGCCATGCCTGCTGTGCCCTGGGCGACCGTCACGGATAGCGGCCGCGGTGAGAGACAACCCCCTGCGCACCCCCTGTGGTAGAAGCACGGGATCCGAGCAAAGCCAGGATCCACCAGAGATGGTTTTGAGATGGTCGCCCGCTGGTGGCTCTGAGAGCCCCTGGTGGGCCCACAGGTCGCCCAGCCAAAGGTTCCTCCCACGAGGGTGGCACACAAGATCAACACTTCGGTGGCCTGATTTGTTTCGCGGGAGCGTTTATCGACATTCCTGCCTCCCCACAGCCCCGACGAAACCCGCGGGGTACAAAACTCGACGAACTCCACATATGCATGATTTCTGTGATTGCCCCCGCGCGTTGTTTCAAGGCGTGCCCCCAATAAATCGAAACGCCTCTTTACCATCCCTGAAGATCGTCCCGCATCGGTCGGAATGCGCGAAATGGGAACATGGACTTACGAGGAGGGAAACTGGACGGGAGGGTGTATAATAGCAGCATCATTGATGAAAGGGCGGTGGTGATGGTGACGAGGATGATGAAAGCGACTATACTAGCATCAGGCGTGAAAAGAAAAGCTAACATCAAGTGTTACGACCAAGACACACGGAAAATGGACGGGAGGGTGTATAGCAGCATACTTATGATGGCACTTATGATGGTGACGGTGATGATGGTGACTATGACGGTGATGATTGTGAGTATGATGTTGATGGTGTCTTGGATGATGCTGACGGTGATGATGGTGACGATGATGGTGATGATGGTGATGGTGATCATGGCGGTGATGGTGATGATGGTGACTATCATGGTGATGCTGGTGGTGGTGATGGTAAAAGGTGATGATAGTGACTGGGACGGTGGTGGTAGTGGCTATGCTGGTGACGTACGTGGCGATGGAGATGATGATGACCTATGGTGAGGTATATCATGTTCCCCGACCTGTGCCCTCATGGTGGGTTGCCGACCATGGGCGCCAAAGTGTAAGTTCCACGCCAACGCGTGAAAAGTCATTGGCCGCACTCCCACGGCAGCCTGAAACCAACTTGCATCACCTGCAGTGAACTCCTGGCTGGGAGCGCACGCGCGCATGAACTCCAGCGCCTTGGCCTTGATGACCTCGTGGAGTTCGAGCTTCACGGAGCCCTCGGCCAGCGTGCCGCTCGCCGTGGTCAGCTCCTCGTCGACGCGCGCCTGCCTCTGCGCAAGGCCCGTCTTGTTGTCGCGGTGGATGCTGCGCATGATCTTGCACTCGCTGAGGGTCGTGCCGATGCAGCGGATGCCCTCCTCGATCCTCTGCGCCGCTGAACCGAAGAACTCGTCGGCGCTCAGATCGACGAACAGCTTCTGCGCCTCCCTCTTGTACTCGTTGACGCTGTCGTTGGCCTTCGTGCGCAGCGACGTCAGCCTCTTGCTCGCGCCCCTCTGCGCGACGGAGAACACGGCACCCTCGGCCTTCTCGAGGATCTGCTCCCAGGTCAGCCCCCCGAACGACGCTGGGTCACCCTTGTAGTTCGCGCCGTCGGCCATGCCTCCTGAGGGGGAGGGGTGGGGGGGGGGGGGGGGGGGGGGAGGGGGGGTGCGACGACTATACACATAACCAATGCAGCCCTCCCGCCTTCCCCACCCAGCCCAGAGCTTGAGCTGGATGAAGGCGGCGACGAGGAACACATCCGTTATTGCGCATTCGCTGCCTCCCCCGATCCTTTCTGGGTGTCCAGGGAGTCCGCCATCCTGCCGAGCTGCGCCGTCACCCCGGCCATCCCCGCGCGCTTGAAGTCCTCCAGCATCTTCCCGATGGTGGCGAAGAGGTCTGCGGGCGTCGACCCCATGAGGAAGAACTCGGCGTGCCTCGTCTGGACCCCGACGTCGGACCAAGAGGCGGAACCGTCGAGCGTCAGCTTCCCCTTCCAGCGCTCGCGGCCGCTCTCCAGACACACCGCGCGCAAGGCCTCGAATGCATCGAAGCCGTTGTCGCTTGCTACCTGCTGCTCAGCGGTCTCGCCCTCTGCGAGGAGATCGATGGCCATCGCGATCGTGTTCGGCTTGTCGGAGAGGAGGTCCGCCAAAACCGTATTGCATGTGTCTGGCCACCCTTCGTCGGCGACGAACGTCTTGAGCTGCTCCTTGTGGAGCTTGATGTCCATGGCCCACTCGGGAGAGACCGAGACCTGTTCTGAGCACTTGCTAATGCTCGCCATGGCAGCCGTGTTCACTGATACCATGGCATGGCGAACTGCCTCGATGTGGTCCGCGTCGGTGAAGTGGGGCTGCCTCTGGTAGATCGTCTTCTTGAGAGCGTTCGTGTTATCGACGGTCGGGGCAGGGGCGAACAGCCGCAAAGCCAGCACAGCTCGCTTGGAACCGTCGACCTGCTTCATGCCTTCGTATTTTGCCAAGGAGATGCTGCGCAGCACGTCGATCCTGTCGTTCAGACTCGAGTACTCCTCAAAGCCAGTCGAGTTGCGCAGCCCCTCGATGAAGCGGTCGGTGCCGCCCATCTCCTTAACTTCGAGCTCCTCGACGGCGATCTGGGTACGAAGCCACGTGTTTATGGTATCCAGCAGCTTGGCCCACACCACGTCGCAAGCGGTCGGCCTGCACAGCTTCGCAACGCGTGTCAACTCAGTCACGTTGCCCTTGAAGAGCTCCTGCTTGTCCCCACTCGGAATATCACCAAGCGTTTTCATCAGGTGGACAACCTTGGGAGCGAGGTCGAACTCGTCCGCCCTGTGCCCCATAAAGAGTGCCAGCGTTGGAGCCCAGAACTTGCTGTCCTCGATGTCCTGCTTGGCGGTCTGCCAGCACTTCTCCAAACTCCCACCCAAGACCTTCTTCACAATCAGGCTGTCCAAGTTCACAAGCTGGTCGACCCCTGGCGCGCCAAGTGGCCCCAGAAGGCGCAGGATGGCAATCAACTCCAGGGCGCAGTTCTTGAGAATGCCGTAATCATGTGGCGCGCCTGTATACTTGTCGACGGTCGCGTCTTCCAAGATGTGTTCCATATCGTCGACGAACCTCGCATTGAGATACCTCCCCGAATGGCCTTGCTT